TTTGCTTTTTGGGAAGGGCTTGGAGGTTTGAGATGTGCCCAGTGGTGCTCAAGATTTGATCTGTGCTCTTGGATTACTACTGATGTTTCATGAGGGACCATATGTGGTATTGGTGATTGAAGTGGAGTTAACTGAGTACAAAACAAGTGCTTGAGCCCCTTTATTACATCATTAATTCTAAAGATTGCTGTTCTTGACTGTCATTTTAGAGTTTGATAAACTGAACCACATTCTTTGGTTTATATATTACATAATTCAAAATTCTGTTTTCTTTAAGAAATGTATTATTAACTGGACTATGAGAAAACTGAATAATGGGAAAATAGGCATGATTGGGATAAAAATATAATGAATGGAAAAGCAGCATACTCTAATTGTACAGACATGGGAAAAGTTAATCTCAATATCCAGTATTCACTAGTTGAAATAGAGTATGGTGAGCAAAACAGTAATTTTGGGCACAAATTTTAATAGGGCTTTAAAAATCTGAGTAAAATTCAAATACACAATGCTTTAATGTAACATTTGAAACTTCAGTATTAGTGCAAAAATTTGATCAGAAAAATATCCAAATTTCAAAGACAGACAAGATCACTATTAGATGTTGAACATTTTTATAAAAAACACTTTTTCTAAAGCTATATTAAAATGTCTTTTTATTACAATAGTAAATTTAAATAGAATATTCAATTAATATACACAACTGAATGTAGAAAAGTATCTTAATATCTTAAAGGAAAAATAAGATTTCTATTTCCATTTTTTTTAATCTTCAAATTCAGTATGTACTTAGTCTGAGCTTTTAAATGGTGCTTGTAACTGTTGTTGTTATATCTCAGGATGTCAAAAATAAGTCATATATAGCTTAAATTTTAGACTAAAGGTAAAGAATAATGGTGAGAATATGGACTTGATTCTTTATGAAGAAAGGAGAAAAATGACTAATTTAGGTTCTCTTTTATGCAACACTCTGAGAATCTAAGTATCTAGTAGGAGCTTCAAAAGCAGGATAAGTATAATTTTTTTTTTCAACTTTAGCATTTCATTGCCTCTCTCACATCTTTTCCCTTTCTTGAAAATCTGGTCAGTGTGAGAATCCAATTACTAACCATCAGAAGCTTAGAAAAGTTTCCACTGAATCTACTGTAGTGAATTTTTATGTTAGAAATACAAAATACATGTGAACATTGTGATATGTCTTAGCTCATGTAACAGAAGCACTGGAAGTAAGGTGATCATTTCAAGATTGAATAATTCAGTGCCATGCAATGCCTTGAGACCCAATTGCCTACATTTTAAAGGTTTTCTTTTTTCAGGCATTTAACTGTTGCCCTCATGGTTGTAAGGTGCTCTAAGCTTATGTATAAGGAAACAAGAAAATTCTTGCTTTCAAATGCAACACCATGTAGCCCCTTATTCTTTAGCTGATTTTTAATTGATATTTCTGCATTTATTTTTTTGCTAGTGGTAAGGAGAGTAATTAAAATACTTGCTCTGGACAATACAAAATTTGACTTTATTATTGACTACATATAATCTTAGGCAATTTGCTTAAATTCTTCTGCATCAATTTTTATATTTAAAATTAGATAAATATAACAGTTACTACATTGTATTATTAAAAGGAAAAATTACTTGATATTTATGAAGTTCTTACAACAATTCAGCAAATAATACAGATTCTATAATTTCTATATCATTTTATGATCCTCATTTATTATATGCAATATCCATAATATAGCTCATAAAAATGTGAGATAAGAAGATATAATTACCTACAATCACTATAAGATTAAATTTGTAAGAAGTTTAATAAATTCTATATTATTTTTTATTGTAGTTTGTATGTGTTAGAGAGGGAATAAAAATAAATTTGAAAACTACTCATATATTTCACATGACTAAAAATCAGAAACTGGTCTAGGCAACAACATAGAATTCATGAAGATAATCTGATTTGACATTTTTAGAATCAGGCAGTTTACATGGTTACAGAGTGTATAGAATACATTTAGTATAAGATAATTAAACTGGTATATATTTTGTAGAATGCTATTGTTAAGTTCCTTAGTAAACATTTTTCAAAAAAGCAATAAAAATCCATTCAATTCACTAAAATTTTCATTTGAAATATTCTTCCATTATATTTAAAAGCCACAAGTTCTAAATTCTCCTCTAATGGTGTCAGTATGATCTATTTCCTTTCAAGTAATTATTTTAAAATTCTAAATTGCAAGTATAAAATTTCATTCGATTTTCTTTCTCTGTGGTTTAATCTAAACATAGTACTTGTATTTCATGCTCAGATGAAATTCTCTAAAATACATCAAATAAGTTCTAAAGAATGTGGTTATTTTATCACAGAACCATAAAGACAGGCATAATGTGGTGTTAGGGGGCAAGCACTTACTTCCCCATTAATCTCCCCAAATATAAAATAAAATAAAACATTTACCCTAATATTCTTGACCTCATACCCTTTGGAAAGAGAGAAGGAAGGAAGGAAGGAAGGAAGGAAGCAAGGAAGGAAGGAAGGGTTCTATTTTTTTTTAAAAAATTACCAGAAAATACACTGTGATTCTAGTCCTCTTCCAATCAAACCCCCTCTCTACTATTTAATGTAAATATAATTACTTTTCTTTCTGTTGTTTGTTATTTTTTTGAGCCACACATGGTTGGGACTCAGAGATTACTTCTGGTTCTGTGCTCAGGATCCCTTCAGGAGTGGCATGGGGGATTATATGTTGTGCTGGAGATTGATCCCAGGTTGAGTCTGCTTCAAATTCTGGCCATTTGGTCTTGAATTTTACATTGAAGCTGTCCATTGAAGGTCAACCAATGACATTCTTTCTCATTGTTAAATCAATTGGTTTGTTCTAACATTTCTCTCTCTCTCTAGAACTATCAGCAGTATTTGCCTGTTGATCACTCTATCTTCTTGAAGATAATTACTTTGCTTGATATCAAATTCATTATGCTCTCTTTTATGCCTTTCAATCTCCATCTTTGTGTAGCTCACTCATTTCTCCTTAGTATCTATTGCTGGTTCCTCCCCATTTCTCTGTCTTACTCGTTTTGCTCCATATGTTGGATCGCTTCTGAGTCCACTCCCTTGGGTATCTTAGTTAGTGTCTTGGCAGTACATTTCTTTTATCCTTTTTTCAACTCCCAATTTTCTATCTTCCACTTGGATCTCTCTTTTGAGGAAATGTTAAATTACACAACTACATCCATCTTTACACAGACATTTAACAGCAAACTTGTTTGACAAGTCTAGTGTTCAGTTAGATACCTTTCACTCAAAAGTCACATTTTACTTCAGTTCTCCCTATTTCAATAAATGGCATTTTAATTGTTTTCAAGCTCCCTGTGACGTATTTGATATGCCAAACACAGTAACAAGTCTCACAGTGGAGACGTTACTGGGCCCATTCGAGCAACCTAATGAACAACGGGAAAACAGTGCTACAGAACAGTGCTACAGTGCTAGTTATTCAAATAAAAAAAATTAATGTTATCCTACATCACCTATTTTCCTCTCACATTGAACAGCTCTAAATATAAAACTCTAAAATATAAAAACTCTAAATATAAACTCTAAATATAAAATAACTCTAAATATAAAATATATTTAGAAACTAAATATAAAATATAAATATATTAAATACGTTCATAATTTTAGCACTTTTTCATCACATGTATTGCTGTCTTAATAGAACATATATGACATTATAGCATCTTTTTTTTCTTCTAGAGTACTTTGATTGACTCCTTACTGATGTTCCTATTTCCAATTTAGTATACATTTAATTTTTAATCATCCAAATAAATTATTTAATTGAAGTTACTTAATTTATTTGGCCAAACCTTCCAATGACTTCCTATAACCATCAGAGTAAAAGTCCAATTTTGGAGCACTTAACTTTTAGATTTACTGGTTTTGGCATATTGAATATGCCACAGATACCTTGCCAGGCTCTGCCGTGTGGGCAGGATATTCTCAGCTTATACCATACTGTAGATGATCACTTTCAATCAGATTTAAAATCTGTCTGACCCTTCATAGTATTTCAATATGTTAGAATGAGAACATCTTTGAAATCATTACAGTTTCTTCCATTGTAATTTAAAATAATTTCCTGTTTAATTTTATAGACAATTAATACCTCCTATTATACAAAATAGAGGTTTTTTATAGACCAGGTTTTTTTTTCCTGTTAATTTTTGTGCTACACCCATACAAGGGTTTACTCCTGACTCTGTGCAGTAACATTTAACAGTTCTTGGGAGACCATATGTGGTGCTGAGGATTGAACCCACAGTCTTTGGGTTTGAACCATGTTTTGAACCATGAGCTTTGAACCATGTTTTCTGACTCTAAGCATCTAAATAAGTATATATATTTTTATTTTTAAGTATTAGTTTGTCTAATTAGAATAAAATAGCACAGCTGAAAATTTAGATGATCAATACCTTGTCAATTACAAGTGTTATTCTGATTATCATGGATCATAATAAATGGATTTATTAGTCTTATTATAGTCCGTTACTTAAGACAACTAGAATATTTCTGCTTTTCTAAACATTATATACCCATTTTCTCCATGGTTGTTTGCAATATTAACTTATAATTAATTCTTCTATTGCTCATATAAATTTTGGGGTTTTGTTAAAATATGAGTGATGTAGCATACAGTATTAAATTTATTTCCTATTTTTCCCCTATGTTAAATTACTTGCTTAATTAAAATTTTCAAGGACAATTTATTTCTTGGTAGCCCATAGTGCTTACTATAGAGATATACTTATAATGTTTCCTTTTATTTAAATGTAAATACATTTTATGGTAATGTACCTTTTATATTTCCAAATTAAAATTGTAAGCAAGGAATACTTGAATTAACAAAATTCACATACTGTTTTTTAAAGAACCAAATAAGAGTAAAATACTTCTTTTAGAATGATTACAATATTTTCTGTTTGCTTTTATTCACTTTTAGCAAGCTCTATTTCCAAAATTGGCTCAGATCCTCTAAAATTTGTACATGGTGCTGTGGAGGAAACGACCGACTGGATCTATGGCTTCTTTTCTTTGCTGTCAGACATTATCTCATCTGAGGGTGATGAAGAAGATGATGATGGGGATGAAGACACTGATAAAGGTAAAATGGATATAGAAATATATAACTAATAGACCCATATCAGACAGGTATAGTGTTTTGCTCATGATTAAGCATAAGTAAACTCTTACATTAGCCTAAACCAAAATAAGTACATTTCTGAATATAACAACATAAAAACAGGCAGCCAACTCAGTCATCTGCCTTTACTTTCATCTTACAGCTTATCTGCCATTTCATCAAAGAGGTCAACATTAAATGCAACTATTAGAGTGGCACTGAAGTAGAGAATGTCTTTATTACCTTTTACTTTTACTTCCTTCTACCTATTCTTAAAAACCTTCAATAGCAACTTAAATTTATATGGTTTGAGGAAAATACAGTGCCTGTGTCTCAAAGTATGTGAAACAAAATAGGTAAAACTAAATAACATGAATATTTTACAAATATAAAGGACATTAATAGTCAGAAATCTGAAAATTGTATCAATATCATAATCAAAAGTAAATTTATTGAAACAAATGAGGATACATAGTGGAAAGATACATTGTAAGTGCTACAATTATAAAACTAAACTATGCACCTTCTCATATGTATTAAGGCCTTCCAAAAGGAAATAAAAATTTCAAAATACGCATAAGCTGACATTTAACATTTGTAAAGAATAAAACAATATGATATCACCTCATTTTGGAGGTCAGCCATAATCATCAGAAATTGTTGTTTCATCCTTGGCTATCAGGAAGTCTCTTATTATTTGATTCCCTTCTTTTACTTTGTATTTGTTTAACCAATGTGAGAGGTCACAATGAACGAAGAACAGAAATTAGCATTATATGTGAACTATAATGTATACTTTGAATCACTGCCACAATTTTATTGAACTGATTATAAATGAAACTGTCTCAAGAAACTGTACATAAAAGCTTACTATGACTTAAATACTGGATTTGGGGAAGCCAATATAAGGACCTCAGTGGTCAATATTAATATTTTTAGTGAAGCATGATAGTTATTATTGAATAAAAATTGCTTAGATATATGTGGGAGGATAGAAGAGAGAAAGAAGCATGTGTTTAAGAGAGAATGCAGTCTTATCCATAGTGGAAAAAAAACCAAAGTATACTTTCAAGGTAGATAAGAGAAGCAAGCAAGGTATGTGTTCAAGGTAAAACACAGGATTAAAGGAGCAAGCCAATCATAGATATTGAAAGTGAGCAAAATAAAGTGGGGAAAATGGAGAAATAGTACAATTTTAAAAGTTTCTCTAATTTATTTATTTTTCTTGGTTTAGGAGAAATAGAGGAGCCTCCCTTGAAAAAAAAAGGTTAGTTGCTTTTCCCTTTGAAAAATTTGTTTGCATTAATGTTGCGTTGACTTTAAGCATAACAAATACACTGTACTTGTATTTTGCCTTTACTTTAATGGAGTATTATTTAATGATTAGATCAAGATTTATAGTTTGGAAAAATATTGTGCATTCTTTTCAGTGAAGTTGATTCCATTATTTTTCAGTTGATTGTCTAAGTGATGTCAAAGTGAAGTCTTCCTCAGTACTCCAAGTATACACAGATCAATGGAAACTGGAATGGTAGAATTTAGGGATAGATTCTGTACACTTGAAAATGGCCCATAAGTTGATAACATTCATGATTTTTATTCTCATGGAAGCCAAATTAGTTGAAATGAAAGTGCTATTCCATTCTTTTGATGTCATTGTTTGTGTTTTTTTTTCTTAATTAATTTTAGACGACAACTGTGGAAAAAAATAGGGAATCAATATTCTTGGAACCACAGAAATACACAATTAGTGTGTATTATTTGTTATTCCCCCAAATGTAACATCAACTTCATGTACATTAATCTGTGTGGTACAGGGGAATTCCTTGTTGGGATAACTAATATCTTCAGTGAATGAATGAAAGTCTCAGACACATACAGAGGATGGGAGCATTAAGACTTTTTAAAAGACTGATACTTAACTAATAAGAGCCCAAGAGTTCCAGATATTTTCATAGGAACAATGAGTAACTAATATAAAAGAGACAACAGATACAGAATATTCTTCCGATGTATTTTTTGTAAGAGAGAACTGTCATTAATTAGGCTAAACTTAATAATTGTGATATATTTGTTATTACTGAATCTGTTTCATAGATTATAAGTATTTAGGCTATAGGATAACTCCTCTTTTGTTTATATCTTCATCGTATATTGTGGATGCAAACAATAAAATTCAAATTTGGAGCTTCAAAATGATATTTACTGTTATTCCATGAAATAAGCCAAAATTCACTTAGTGTGAGTTGGGGAGAAGTTCACAGACCTGGAGTACGTGTATGCTCTGCATTCACAGGGGCCTGGGTTTGATTCCAGGAACATCACAGTAATACTTCAAAAGTATTACTGGTTGTAGTGCGACTTGGTTGACCCCACAGCAATTGTTTAATATGTTTTAATTTTGGAAACTTAAGTTGCTACTTGTCCAACAAAAGAAAACAGACTAGTGAAATTAAGCTGGGACAAAGCCTTTTAAAATGAATGCTTTTATGAAGATATAGAAAAGAAATGACTTCCTAATGTTTGGTTATTAGGATGATAACCTTAAAAACCTTAAAACATAACTCAGTCAGTAATAATTCAATGTGTGAAGATTTAGAGATTTTAAGCCAACTTATAAATACCTTGGTATCAGTAACAGTCATTTAAAGCTTATCTTCAATAAATAGAGCTTTTATCTGAAAACAAGTTGTATATATTTTCAGTCCAATTTGAAGTGTGACAGGGAAAAATAAAGTTTTCTTGAATGTATTTATAAATTAAATTATATAATTATCATAAGATAATATTCTCCACAAATTAATGACTGGTGTTAAATAGGAATCTTTTATCTTAATTTCAATTTCCCTTTTGAATTATTTAATATTGAGTTTTATAATAGCATAAATTATAAATCCATACAAAGTTGTATAATTGTTGGTTCTTAGGCTATTGCCTTTATTTATCAAATCAACAGGAAAACTATTAAATATTGTTTTAGATACTTATTTTATTGTCTGAAATGGTTATTGTCAATAGTCTAAATAAATATGTAGTACTGTAAAGCACAAGAATTGAATATATTTAATTAAAACATCAAATTATTCATTTATACCTCCATGCTATATACTAGTAGTATTAAAACATTTTGCTATTTTATATTCTGTGAAGGCAAGACATTAGCTAATTCCAGATAAACCAAATGAATATTAACTCTAAAAATCCAAAAGAAAAAATCTGCTAGATGAGGAAATCATATCTCTAATGTTTCTAGAGGTATCTGGTCCACTAAGAATGAATGAATTTGGGTTTTTAATAATAAAATTTATATAGAGAACTAAATAAACTAGACAGCTATTTTGAATCCAGACAAATGATTGTCAATCCCATTCATGCCATTTGGCATGTATTTAATTCCTATCCATAGTTTACCATGCAACATGGCAAATTAAAATGTTATAAATCACCCTCTGTAAAGTTGTTCAGTTGAACTGAGATAAGGAAAAACTGCTTGTTATCATTAGTTAAGCATAGTATCCACTAAAAGGTTATTACTGAAAAAATGTGAACTATAGAAAAAAAGGGATTTCGGGAGGTGCCACACCTGTAGTTCTCAAAGGATACCTTCTGGATTCTCAGTTCAGAAATCACTTTTGTGAGCTCAGGGGACCATATGTGGAGCTGGAAATCAAACCTGGCCTGGTCATGTGCAAGGCAAGCACCCTAACTGGTATACCCCAATTTTCTTTTATTAAGCCACATTTTTTCCATTCAGCTAACCATAGGTCAACTTGATTAAAGCCTTAAAAAAGCATATTTTAAATTTATTTGGTGAAAATGCTGCGAGTTTATCTCTGTCTTACTACAATTGTAAAAATTGTTTTAAAATGCTTAAGTATTTTTCTGGGTGTAAACTATTTAATCTCTTAAAGCTCTTGCCATTCATCCATCTAAATGATTCTATTAATATTCTTCCTCATGATTAGTCAAGATACTAAGAGACAGTACTGAGATTAGAGCACATGCGTGGCATGCACCCTACTTGGGTTTGACCCCATCACCATATGGTTCCCCCAGTGTAGCTCTGGAAGCTCCGAAGAACCCCCACCATCCAAGGTACTACAGATTTCGATTGGCATTGCATTCTCAGACCCTTACACTGAACCAATTACCTGGTAATTGAGAAATGTGAATGGTGCCCTCAACCTCCCAGCTTGGAAGGTCATTAAAAAAAAAGATTGATTCTTAACCACTTTTTGTATCTAAAGTTTTAAGTTGTGAAATGCACTTAACTGTAAGTTTAATTTGTCCAATTATTGCTATTTTTACAGCAATCAAAATTCAAACACTGTAGGATAACATTGTCTTGTTCTTCCTGCTTTTCCACAGGACCTTAGGTTTATTGGGTTACTCCCATCACCGTGCTCCCATTCCTCTGTGTTTATTTGTAACCTCTTTCCTTGTGCTCTGCTTTCCCAATGGTCAGTCACCTTTATCTCCTACTCAGACACTGTTAACTTGTAAACTTTGCTTTTCTCTTCTCCTTAAATCCTTTGCATAGTTAATTCAGAGCAATGACCTTTTTGTATAGACACAAGAAGACAATTAATGCTATGCTTTTGTAACTTGGGAGTCAATTGACACAATGATATTCAATCCTGGGCATCTGTTCCCTGGACTTAAGCCTCAGTTGCCCTTACTTACTAGCACCCTAAAAGCTCAGTCCTGATGAGGGACTGGATGGATCCAGGATAAGCTGTGACCTACCCTTGCGTCACAGTGGGCCAGGCCAAAATGCCATAATTCTTAACTATATGTTAAGAGTATGGTCATGGACAAATTCTGTTATGATCCAAAAAATTACATCTAGATTAGGATCCTGTTAGAATTAAAAAAGATTAATCTGGCCTGTTACTGTAGTCCGAGATCTATAGCGGGATGTCCCCAGGAGAACCACCTTAGAGGCTTAATGTATCTCTTACTGTGTCCATACAAAATAATATTAAGAAGTAGATTTAAGATGTTAATTAAGGGGCTGGAGAGATAGCACAGAGGGTAGGGCATTTGTCTTGCACATATCAACTTGGTTTCTATTCCCAGCATCCCATATGGCCCCCTGAGCAACACCAGAAGTGATTCCTGAGTGCATGAACCAGGAGTAACCCCTGTGCATCGCCAGGTGTGACCCAAAAAGCAAAAAAAAAATGCTAATCAAGATGTTAATTTAGTTATTGGACTAAGGAGAGGAGAAACGCCCCATGTGGTATTTCCGCCCTTGAACCTGATTGGCGATCAGGTTCTCTGGACTTGATATGTTGACTGTGCTACTAGAGGGGTTGTGGTGGCTATTCCCAATGCGGGGGAGTTGGAGAGAGACTAGAGAGAGACCAAGGTTATGATAGGGAGCATAGAGAGACTATCATGGGGGACAGAAGGAGATGGGAATGAGGGGCAGTGTGAGACTAGAATGAGGGGCTCAGTGAGACTGGAACAGGCATGTAGGAGAATGGAATAACTGGCAACTGATCACCAACCAGCTTGGCCCTTGCTACCTCCTTCGTCTACCCATGGCATTGGCCATCCCGGGTGGGGAAGTGGCCTGAGACCACCGAACACATGCAAGAAAAGAGATCTGAGGGTTTTCCTAGTCCCATGGTAATTACACAAAACACCTGTTACTCATAGGAATAATTATGTTCTAATTTGATGGGAAATAATGGTCCAGTCAAATAATCCCACAGTAATGAATAAATATGAGATTTTTAATCTGTTACATGGCTTGGGATGTTTTATACAAATACAGCTTTAAGGTATCATATGCAGCACATCGCATATTTACATACTTTGTTCATGCATATGCTTCAGGTTGTCAACATTCTGTAATACTAAATTTTATTACCTAGTATTCTAGTATTCTATGATGAGATACCCAAGAATTTAAGCATTAAAAGATATTCATTCTATTATATGATTATTTAAAACACAGTGATCAATATTAAATGTCATGTAAATAAAATTTTCTAGGACAATTTTGTATTCTCAATATTGGGCATTTTTTGTTTATTTGGAACTGTTCTATTGAGTAACATCCTTCACATGAATAGGTATATCTCAAGGAAGTGTAAAGTCTTCAACTTTCTAAGTAGCATACAAATACAGATTATTTTTAACAGTAACAACTTACACTTTGTATGTTTTCCTAAAATTGATATATTGACAGCATATAGTGTATATTTTATTACCATGTAAACTTTACAAGAGAGAGAATTCCTTCCTTCATCCCCAAAT